GGGGGGGGGGGGGGATGCTGGGACATTTTTGTTACCTCACCTTTCGCACCCCTTCTCCCACCCTTCCGATCCGGCCGATCGGCACGAGCGAGTTTATCCGATCTCCGTGCCGAGGAAACTCGTACGGTGAGTGAGTTACGCTCGACGGGCTACGCTACTCAGAGGCAGCCGTGTACTATTATTATTACTTTATTATTATTATCGTTATTATTATTACTACTACTACTGCTACTATCGACGCGAAATAGTTGATCGGTCGCGGTGTGAAGTGCAATATTTCACCTTGATCACAATCGTAGTCTCGGCAACTGCCGCCGCGGATCTCTCCCAATGAAGAGTCACTGAACACCGATCTTCTCTCTCTTTCTCTCCTTTAGCGGCGATCACCTCACGAGTGATTCTCGCCCGTCTGCACCGACACTTCCGTGCCGATCATCAGCGGACCGGCCGTGAGGACGCTCGTCGGCGTCGGCGGCAGGACCAACGGGCTCGGCACCGCGATCGACGGCCGCAACCGCTCGGTGAGCGCCAGCATCACTTGGCAGTGCAGGTGCTGGATGGTCGCCAACAGATTGAGGTTGGTGTCGATCAAACCGGTGGCCGGCGAGAACCTCTCCCGCTCTGCGTTCTCCATCTCGTCGGCGAGGGGTGTCGCGGTGAACCTCGGATCGCTCTCGACGGGGTTCAGCAGCGCGCTCGCCATCGCTGCCGCCGTCGCCTTGCTCTTCTCCGCCTGGAGAATCCTCTGCTGGTGCTTCAAGTACGAGGTGGTGATGGGTCGGCTGTAATCGATGGGCGTGTTCTTGGTATCCAAGCCGGGGCTCCACGGCCTCGGCAACGGCTGGTTCGGCTGCGGCGAGGGTGTTCGTCCCTCCGGCAGCATTCGCTTCCTCTTGGACGACGCCGAGCTCTTCGAGCTCGCCCGGTCCGACTCGGGTGTCCTCCTCGAGTCCGGCAGAGTGTCCGTACTCGGCAGAAAACCACCGTTCACCGGCTCTTTCTTCAGCAAGTTTGTAATGCTCAGCGGGTTGTACTTCTCTTCTTTCTCCTTCTCGATTTTCTCTATCGCGATGCTGAGCCTGTGTTGCTTCTGATGCCTGTAGCTGTGCAGATTCTTCCCTTCCGACGATGCGGCGTGCTGGTTATTACCGTCGCGTATTTTTGGACTGCTCTGCACCGATGCGGCCGATGACGACGACGCCGTCGCCGTGAGGGCGGTTGTGTTGCCGCCTGCCGTTAGGACGGGACTCAACGGAGTCACCGTTGACGTCGCCGTCGACGTCAACGTCGTCGTCGACGTCTTGGACTGCGTCTGACCGGAGAGGTTCGTCGGACTCGGTGTCCGCGGTCGCCGCTGACACTCGGTGCAACCCAGCAGAAATTTCGTCACCGCTTCCCGAGGTAGGAACGCGTACGTCTCTGTGATCTGAAACAGAGAAGCAGAAAAGCGCATTCTACGTGACAATTCGGGTGCGCCCGTCGAACGATTCCTGTGCGATAAGTTTCCCGCAATTCAATGAGCGAGTTGAACGTGACGAAGATGCATTTTGGTTGTCATGATTTTCGCCGGTAAACAAGCAAAAGGGTTTCTCTGCATTTAGTACACGCGTTTCTTCGACTTGTTTAACATAAGCAACATAATCTAATATCAAATATTATTTTGTTTAAATGAAAACGTTGTTGTTTTACTAGAATAAAACCAATGTTGTTTGATAGAACGAAAAATATTATTTCGGAGAAATAGCATTTGATTTTCACTAGAAAATAAACGTATTCCATTGCGTATTAAATAATCCCGTTTGTCGGATCAAACTTTCCTTCGTTTCAATCCCAAGAAATTGTGTAGAGACGAAAAAATCTTCCCCTCCGCGTAGATTTCTCGCGAACCGATTCCCGCTCGATCCGCGGCTTTCCGCGGTTCGACGCGCAATTTTCAATCGCCCTCGCAAATTCTTCCCCGTTTTAACCCTTTTAGTGCCGGGAGCCGATATATCGGCTCCTGCTACACCGGCGAGAAGTGCCAGAGCCGATATATCGGCCCGCACCTTGTAGCGCTTTACTATTCGCATTGCGAGAGATCTCTACCAAAATAAATTTAAAATACGTTATAAATAGTCTAATTTCATTACGAGAGAATTAAAATAAATAATTTTTAAATATTGCTTTTCGTTTGGTTTTTATGAGCCTTTTACCAAATCCTAGTAAAATCGGCCGGTTATCTTCGCATAAGCACCTCTTTTTCGCCCGGCACTAAAAGGGTTAATCGCGATTCCGAACAGAATATAGATTTACGACCCGGTCGAGAGACCATTATTTGCCGACGGAAGTTAGAAGAACGAAGATGAGGATACGCGTCTCTCTCGCGATTTCCGCCGGTAGTTCTCTCCCGCGTGAGCGGAGCGCTCGCGCGCAAAACTTCGGTGTAAGCGGACCGCGAGGAGGCGGCGCGCTGCAAGTTAATCGTGCGGCTTTAATGAGCCGTTAATCAGTACGGCGCGCGCGACGGAGACATCGGGCACACCGTCGCCCATTGATCGGACGCGCGTTTCGCCGCGTCGCACTTCGCGAACGTCGCGACATCGTTACGTTCAAGCACCGGCCCGGTCATCAGGCAATTAACTAATTCCATCTGGCGGAGGCGCCGCACCCAGGCGGACGCACGTTCGCGCTCGATGTGTACTATATACGTGTATATATATAGATACGTACGACACGACCGCTATTGTCGATCGAGACGCGCATTAATGCGCGCGAACGACCCGTTGTTCCCGCCGCTCCTCGCTCGCCGGCGAACGTATCGCTGTCACGTGGCGCCGTTTTACGCGCGCGACGCCCACTGGGGAAAATTCATGAGCGGTATAACGGAACTTTGATGTCTTCTGCGAGGAGGTGTTCAGCCGGAGGGATGTTCCCCGCCTCTTAATAGGAAACGTTTCTCTCCGAGGAGGTGGAAGGGCGGCATAACTTAATCAAGGATGGCAGCCTCCGCGAGAGCGAGAGAGAGAGAACGGACGTGCTTGATGTGTACGTATAACTGCACGCGCTCACGTGGGGGGTAGTAATTCGATAAGATTTACCCGAGACTTCGCGCGGCGAGCTCGTGGGACGACGAAAAAGAAAAGCGCGACAGGTAGGGAAGCGAGATAATGTACTTGGGATCGACACGATGCAGCAGCGACTTACCGCGGCCACGTTGACGTTTCCGCTCGGACTCGAGAGGTAGATTGTATTCCGAAGGGTGACAGCGACGTGGGAANTTTTTTTTTTTTTTTTTTCAGCGACGACCGTCCTGACGGAACCGTTAGAACAGAGTGCACGCGTGCTCGTTTGATGGACGTCGAATTGTAACGTGTGATCGAGGATCCCCCCCTCACGCTTCGCCTTCCATCTCTTATTCGTCCCAAAAATGGAACTCGACGAATTTAGCGACGAAGTACGAAGTGAATGATTCTCGCGAATTGAATCTTGGCCCGCAGGGGGTTTCAGCGAAATTATCGGTGGGAGTCCGTAAACCTTACGGTGTTATTCGACGCGATCGCTGCGCTGCCATCCAGTCATCGGAACAAAAGAAAGTTGAGTAATGACTTCTCGGCAGAGAAGGTAACAAAGATCGATCTCTCGGGCATTAAAACGGTGACCAAGATTGCCACTTTTTGTCCAGTTCTGAGAGTAACTAAGGATATTTCAGGAAAAAAGCAACACTTCTCCAGGTTTATCTTCGATTAATTTAACATATAGCCAGAGTTCTTTTCATCGTACGGTTTGAAAATGTATAATAAGGAAAAACCAAAGGTATATGAATGATACAATATAAGTACGCTTTCGGTGCGGTTTAACGAAGAAATACCGAAAAATATATATATAGAATGTCCATATCTTACAAATTGAACGGCAGCACGGAAGAAAAATAATTACATTGACCCGTTTTTGCTTGGCGAATTTTCTAGTGACTTGTCAAGAAAAGGTGACAAACAGTGACTCAAGCCAGCGACACAAGACGCTTGTTTTCGCGCTGGATTGCTCGCCGGATAGAAACACTGCGTTCTGATTGGTGCATTTCCAAAAAAGGGATAACAATACACCAATCGAAAGGCGGTATTTCCATCCAGCGAACGACCCAGCACGAAAACAAGCGTCATTTAAAAGCCGCTGGCTTTAAATGACCGGATGACAGCGATCTCGAAGAGATCGACTTCCGACACGACGGACTTGCACGCGCTGCTACGCGCGCGTGTTTGTACGCGTTAGGAGGTCCGAGTTGTCAAAGGTGAACTGCGCTTTGGTTCGGTCAACTTGTATAACCCTTACCGCGATGTAATAGCGGTAATTCGAAATCTACCGTTCCGCCGCTCGGAGCGGCAGAAGCGGATCGAGTTGCGCAACGCGCGCGCCCCGATGACATAACGCGGGGCTCTTCTGGAGCCGATGAATCCCGCCGCCTAACGCCGACTTGAACGTAAAACAGTTCCACCGTCGCGCCAACGCTCGAGTGTGTGAGTAAGCAGGCAATGCAACAAGTGTCCTGAGGTTTTGAATCACAAGCAGATCGCGGCGTGCGAGAAAGAGCGAGAGGGACAGAGACGCGCGAGATAGATAGAGAGAGAGAGAGAGAGAATGGGAGGCCGAAGAGTGGGAGGTTGGTCGCAGGGGCCGAGGATGGAAGCTAGAAAGAGACCGCCGTACCGAGGGTGCGAGATAGAGAGAGAGAGAGAGAGAGAGAGAACAGATATGATACCCCGGAGAGAGGTTTACGCGAATGCGCGCCGGAACATGTGAGATGACGTGTGGTATCGAGTGTTCGACGCTTGAACGCCTCGATGCCTTCCCTCGGGAACGGTAAATATCGCGTGTCGCGAGCAACCATGCAAGAATTCACCGCGCTCCGCCGATAGCAGCCGAATTCGAAATTCGATCGTTCGCGGATCGACGGTTACTTCGGTGAAACGCAGCTGCGACTTGGAGCGAGCCGGGATGCATCGTTGGGCGGCGGGACGAGCGAGAATCGGCCGGAGTAAGCTACGGAGTTCGACGGAGTCGTGGACTTCCATTCCCGAGGTCTAATGACGCGAGCGAGCGTCATTCGCTTCTCCGGCGGGATTCACCGGTATTCCCGGTGAGACCGCGGACCAAATACGAATGGGTCGGAAATCGATGGCTGTTTACCGTTCTGTAGGTGCGCTTCTGACCGGCATGCTTCCCAGGACGGCCCTCGAGATCGACGTGAACCGCATGGATGATGTCGAAGAAGTTCTCCACGATCGCGACCTTCTTGTACACCCTTCCGGGCGGCACTGTACCTTCGGCACCGTTCAACGCCTGTAAAAAGAAAACGAAACGCGGGAAATGATGAGAAGCGTGTTTCCCATATTACTTGTGAATAAATAGATTACATCGCAGTGAGTGTTAACTTATCGTTAACAGTAGAAAACGGGACGGGAATACGATGCGCTTTCACCGATTTCTTCGTTCCATCGATCCCCAGCACGAAAGATTTGAAATTTCATGTATTTTACGAGCGCTTATTTGGTTGATTTTTTAACAATAGCTTTCGACGAACTGATGCTTATACTATGTTCAAACGCCACCTACTACTATCCAGAGAGTCGCTTCTACCTCTGGTTTTCCCCAGTCGGAAACGGCATACAGTTTCCTACCATCCCTTACCGACATCGGACAGCTCATTTTATCGATTACTGGCACACCAGTTGCCTACAACAACGGTACCCGCTGCCGGTAAGGTAGACTTCCTTGTCGCACGTGAAAATATTGTAGTTACAATTATATTTATCTTTTGCAGCTTCAACCACGGTATCATGTTTAATTCATAATGTACTGTAAGAAATAAGATTACGTACATTAAGCGGCAAATATAATGGCGTCACTCATTTCCCCCGCGCGTCGTCGATATTTCACGGGAGAAAAATACAATTTTATATTTTCCGATTAGTTCATTTGACCGGTAAAAATAAAATCTCCCGTGAAACTTCATTCAACTCTTCACTTTCGACGATTACAATATCAAAGAACAAGCCGGACAGAATCACGAAGTATTCTATCAATTTATTACGCGTGTTAAACATTTGCTTTCATGATGAACAAAATATGCCGAGCTGCGCGTTAGAATCGGAAGGACGGAGGCCGTGTCCCACGTCAACCGAGAGAGAGAGAGAGAGAGAGTATACAGTCCTGGCATTTTCCATCCGGAGCGCATTAACGAAACTCCCCATCAACCGCGCGAGATTTGCTCGTTCCCGTTAAGGCCATCCCGGGCGGTTGAGAACCGCGGCGCGTCCTGCGTAATCTTAATTAATCTCGTCCTAAGTACCGGCATCGCCCGCGGGCATGGTCGCGGTCAGATTGTTCCGGCGAACTTTGCGACCTCAAGAAGTTCGGCGCGCATGCGCGACATTATTGTATTTCCCTAAACACCTGTTGAAGGGTAAAGTTGAACTCGTGGAGTTTAGTGCTCGGGCTAAGTGGCTGTGGTCAAGCGGGATAACAATAGCGACACCAAACTGACCATATTTGGCGATCCGCGGCAGTCCGGTCGGTCCTTCCGAGGAAAAATCCTCGCGCGCCTAAACACGAACCGGTCGCCTGGCCTTGCCGCGGCTTGAAGCCCACCGTCGTGGACGGTAAATTACGAGTGACCGTCGGGGAAAGGAAAATNAAAATTCATTAATCAACCCCCCCCCCCCGGGCCCCGACCGAGGATACGCGACACGCGGAATGAGAATAGATCGGACGGTCGGACGGTCTTGATTATACGCGTTGCGCGGCACGTGTGCGCGTTCGCTCGCAAAATTCGGGGTTAGAGGTGAATAGACGACGGGAAGCGGTTTCGTCGGCGAACATGTGCCCAGCCTAAACGCGGGCCGCCGCCTTCTGCCAGGACGTCGTGGTCACGCGATACGTCACGGCGGCGGATAGACGCGCGCGGAGCGTCGCGCGAGTTCTCGCCGCCTGTCTAAATCGACCGGCTCTCTTTTGTGCGGCCCGTTCCTCCCGGTTCGACCCCGTTATTGAGGATGCATCAGCAATTTCCGCCGTCGCGGATCGCCAGCCAAGACGAGATCGGCTGCCCGGGAGGAGGACCTCGCGCCAACACGGCCTCTCTCTCGCCGGTTTCCGAAATATCCGCTTTAAAACGGAAAAGAGAGTTAATTTCGGCAGCGTAATTTACCGACATGCGTAATTCGCCGAAAAAGCGGCGCGCCCGAGTTCTAAACTGAATTCAATTCGGCGCCGTCGGGCTTGCGTATATACACACTGTTTCATTAGATCGTGTTACGCGGGGCCGTACACGTACAAATTCGGTTATAATTTCTTTTTTCCGCAATTACGCGCGCGTATACACGTACCTCCATACGTACATACATAAATATATGTACAAACACACACACACACACACACACATACACACACACATATATATATTTGCACATTTATCCGTGCGAGTTAATAATAATCCGGGCGGCAAAAGCGGAACTTTCAGACACGACCGGCGTGTCGAGTGATGCATCAGCAGACTGAAACGCGGAAGTGCGTGCGTGCGCGCACATAAGCGCAATAGGCGCCTAACTAGAGGGGCTCAAAGGACCATCGGGGATAAATTTAGCCCTTTACCCGAGCCGCCCTCGGTGGCGCGTTACACGGACAAGCTAATTAAGCATCGCGCGCGCCCTACCTTTACTCACGGCATATCTGCGTCAATGATTAGACGACGATCAGCCGATGCATCAGCGCCCGCTGAATCAACATCCTCTCGGTCAAAGGAGAGTGTGAGTGCGCGCGCGCGCGCAAGAGCCCCGATTTCCCGCTCCCGCGAGCGGCCCTTTCGAGAACGCTCGATCGTCAGACGCGCGCGCGCGCGCGCGAGTCTCCCGCTCGAATCTTTTTTCCCGATACGACGGGCGAGATGCGGGATGCCGCGAGGCGATAATCGGCCGGCTGCGATAAAGCGCCCGCGAGGAAAAGCNCCCGGGGGGGGGGGGGGGATAACGGTCGAGCGGGAAAAGGATGCTCTTGGCGCACGATACCGGATCCGGTGTCTGGAAATGTTGAAGACCGAACCTCGAGAGGGAGCGAACGAAAGAGAGAGAGAGAGAGAGAGAGTACAATCTCCTTTATCTGAGAGAGGATTTCAAAAGGAAAACCGGATACTTTACAAGACGTGAAACGTCCTAAGCGACTAATTTATTCTACATTCGCGCACAGAGACGAGCGAGACGCCGGCGAGTTTGTGCAGCGAGCGTGCGCGGAAAATTGAAGAACAATCGAAAAGTTTCAAGAAAGAGAATCCCTCCGCCGCTCATTACTGCGTTAACCGGACTGTCAGGACTGCGGAGAACGGGGGAATTACGCGCCTTCGCTCTCGCTCGCCTCTCGAAACTAATAGATCGTAAGATCGTAACGCGAGAGAGGAACCGGGAAAACGAGAATTTCATCGGAACAGGGAGAGGTAAGAATCCCGTGGTAACGTGGACCCACAGGGGGAGGGGGAGGGGGGAGCCTGACACGCGATTATTAAGAAAGCAGCGAAGCGCACCGATATTATCGCGGCGCGATTTCAATCGAACCCGCTCGCCCCTCCGTCCGCTGCTCTCCAGGAGCGCGGTGCGCAGATGCGCGAGATCGAGGAAAAGGAAGGATTCCGGAGGAGGAGAAGGAGGTGTGAAGGGCGGAGGATGCAGCGGGCGATAGGAGGCGCGGGGGAGAGAGAAACGCGTCGGCGGGACGCGTTCTCCCGCTCGCAGACGGTCCAGAATAGAAACGCGTCAGCGCCGCCATAAATCCCCCTGCGAGGCGCGCGCGAGACTTGGCGGGGCCAAGTTTGCGGCGCGGCACGGCAGCGAAATCCGGGTACAGCGGCTGTTTTAAAGCCCCCGCGGACCGCGGGCGGGTTTGCATTTTAAACGAACGCCGCCGCTGCCGTCGCCGCCGCAATGCCGAAGGGAGAAAACAGCGCGACACGGCGCGACCGACGAAGCGGATTAAAAAAATTCACGAGGGAGCCGCGCCGTTCGGGGCGCGGGGGTGTATAGCGCGCGAATCGAAAGGAGAGAGAGAGAGAGAGAAGGGGGGAGCGCAGTCATGTACCGGGTGGTCCGCGCGGACCGCTTCCTCCGCCGACGTGGATAACAGGTAAGCGGCGAGCGAACAACGCCTCGCGAAAAGAAACGCGCTCGCCGGGCGTCGAGCGCTCGGAAAACGGTATCCGACGAGTCGGCGACGAGTAACTTTCGAATGTTTCCGCTCTCGCGAGATATCGGCGAGGTATCTGAAAGTCGCGCGTTTAGCCTGCTCGGTTTTCACCGTCGACGAGCGACGCGTCATTGGCAGGCGTGAAAGAGAGAGAGAGAGAGAGAGGTGGGGAAGGTTGAATTGAGAGGTCGACATTCTTGGCGCGACGAGCTTCGAAATTCCGACTCGTCCTCGGCACCGGGAACAGCCGTAGAACGAGCGATTATGAATTCTCTCGTAGCGACGTGTGTAATTATCTTCATCGACGTCGTTATCGATTGTCTCGCAACGACGGGAGATCACGTCGTTTCACGTGCGACGATACGACTATCACCGAGCGGTCTCGCGAGCAACGTACCCGGGACTCTCAACGAGCCAACTCCGGCCAGGCGCAACTGCAGACGACTACTTAAACGACGATATCGCGGGATCGCGATGCGATCGCGGGAGTCGCGCGTGTGTAAACCGCACCGTCGTACACACCGCCGGCAGTAAAACACGATCCGAGAGTTCGGTCCCGGTCGCGAAGTGCGTATCAATGAGCCGAGGACGACCACTGGAGTCCGGCTATTGAAACAGTACCGAAGTAGCGTCGTAACGTTGCATAACAACGATACTAGGAAGCGGCGGGAAAGTGGCACGGCAAGTCGTGAAGCGTCCGCGTGAGCGCGGGGTTGGAAGAAGGGCAGGAAAGGAGGGGGCGGGGGGGAAGGGGGTAGAAGAGAGGCGAGCGTTAAATATTCTCTCAACGAGGTCGGATTACCTCCATTACACCGCGGCAACGACGATGATAACGAGAACGGCGATACGGCGAGCGAACGAGCGAGTCGGCAAAGCGAGCAGGCCTAACGGAGTACCGAGAAGCCCTCGTACAACTCGCCGACACGACAATCCTCCGCGAGCTTAGGATATCAGCTCTCGCCTCCTTCGCTCGAGATCCTTTCTTCGGACGCGCCGGAGGAGCCCGGGAGGCGTGTGATTGGGTTAGTTTTGGTTTGTTGGGACGGGACACGGCCGGCCGGGCCACCCAGTAGCCATTTAGATAAACGACCGGCCCCTGTTGAGTGCCGCGG